ATAATCTTACTCCTACTGAAAAGAATAAATAAATCAGAAATGGGGAAAAAATAGAAGGAGGAATCCTTTCTCAGTGGGATAAAATATTTGGGCAAAATTCTTAGCTGCAGTTCTTGGCCCACTGCAACTATAAGTAAGTCTGCAGAACTAGTTCTGGTCTGGATGTACCACCTGCCTATGTTCTTGAAATATGAGCCTCTTTCCATACTGTCTCTTCAGCATGACCAAAACACCACTACAGTAGTTGTATTAAAGAGGGCAAAGCTAAATGAGAAAGCTAAAATGATCAGTTACAGAGTGCCTTAAAATATCTGAAAATAATGTGACTGCCATATTGTAAGAATAATTCTGCTTTATCCCTCATATGTTTTCTGCCCTTTTAAATTTGAAGGTGCCAGTTCTGGGTCCTGCTTGCACAGAAAGCCAGTTAAGTGGAGAATATTATGTCTTGGTGCTCTTCAGCACTCTTGTGTGTGACGGAATAATGCATGAAGAGGTCTTGTGATGCTTGGTTTCAAATAGGATCTGGTGAACTTGAGTCAATCTTTGCTCCAGTAGGTGTAACAGGATTTTAAAAACTGTGTGACTGCAGGTGAGAGAATTGACTTAAATTCTGATTTGTGGTGATATGTATAATTTCTAGTTGAAGGGGAACGTGGCAGGAATATGACTAAAATCTGGATTAGTTACTACCGTTCATAATCTGATTGTTTTCAGTCAGCCCAGAAATACAGTTTGCTGATTATATATTTGGGATTCAGTAGATGTTTCATTTGGTGTAAAAGTACACTGGTAATAAATTAGTTAATGTGTTGCAGGTTTGTTCTTTATAAAGGATGTTTCTTCTGTCTGTGTTGAAAGGTAAAAGATTACTGGCTATACTGTTGTTTCTAATGTTTTGAATGATCTTCTGTTTCTTTTAGAGCATATAAAGTAAAGTGTGCTTTTTTTAATTTTTGAAATATGCCAGATAGGCTAGGAGCCTTCAAACTTTTTAAACAGGGGGCCAGTTCATTGTCCCTCAGACTGTTGGGGGGCCGGATTATAGTTTGAAAAAAATATGAATGAATGGATCAAGTAAAAAAAAAGGACCCGGGTCCTTTTTTTAACTTGATAGAGGTGATTTTTTTTCTTAAATGGAAAGTTATTATAAATTAATAAGTGATTATAATGTTAATAAGTGATTAAATTGAGGATGGAATTTCATTTCAATGGCAAATGTGGGTTTAAAAAATAAAAAAAATATCCTGCAGCACATGAAACTGCTACAGCTCATTCAACTGTAATGGAAAAATGGAGAAACTGTCAAAAGTTTCTTCAACAACCCAACAGTGAGAAGAGCAAGGTTGGTGGCAGATCACATGCATAGCACGCATAGGATCTCAGATTCAATCCCTGGCATCTCCAGGTAACCTGGGGTGGGGGTGGGGAATCATCTTGAATTCCCAAAGAAAGGCTAGACAGACAACAACAGTCCAACTCAGTATAAGACAGATTTTTGTGTTCCCTGTGCTGGCTAAGCACAGATGCAATTGGAAAAGCAATTTCTCCCCGTCATCCACATTTCTTGTTAAAGAATCACATGAAATGGCTAGCCTTTAAAAAACACAACCTACCCTTACTCCTCCGCCTTTTAACATGGCCATGATGAAGCTTAGTGGGTCATTTATTTCCTTGCCAGAGAAAACCTCACATGCTTTTCTCATGCCAGGCTGCTGCTGAAAACAAAGAGGGAAGGGAAACCTCTAGTCTGGTGCTAGTGAAATTCAGTGTGATATAGTGGAGAGAGTATCAGACCAGGACTCAAGAGATTTAGGTTCCAATCCCCGCTTGGCCATGGGACCTCATTGAAAGTGACAACAGTAAATCATCTCATGAACATCTCATCCCTGGCAAACTCTGTCGGGGTCACCACAGATCCAAACTGACTTGAGGGCACCTAGGGGGGTATGAATCTAGTACAGGATATCTTGTCAGGAATTTCTTTTAAGTGATCATCATGCATTTTTAAGGACCTGATCTTACTGAAATATGAAGTAGTAACTACTGCAATCAATATACAAATTCCTTTTACTTGAAACAAGGTGAGCTTTCGCCAGTAACGTTTTGCCCACTACCATCATCAAGAGAACATAAGGGCCACTTAAAGCCTGCAAAAGGAAAGTGGTAGCTTTATTTTTAAAAGTCAAGAAACTCAATACAGTATAATGGAAAGATAATCAGGTGTGTCTCCCTACTTCCTCATCCTTCCAGGGACATTAAAGGCTGAAAGGCAGCACATGGGAAAGGAACATGAAGGTGAAGGCAGGGCCCTGAGACTGTTGTCTTTAGCAGTGTTTCGCCGCCTCAGAGGAGTGTGTGGTTTGCTTCCTAAACACTCCGGTGTTCTCTTTGGGGGGGGGGGGTTTGCTGGAGTCCCCAAAGCAGCAAGTCCCATGACAGCAATGGTGGGGGTTGCTGCTTAGTTCGTGCTTAAATATTCATTACTTGGCGATCAGGTAGCTGCTGCTGCAGCTGGCACTGCCTCCCCCCGCCCATGCACCAAGTGATCTGCCTTAGCAGTCGTGTGGCTCCTTTGGTGTTGCCTCCTCACGGCTTCCACAGGCAAAGGCTCACACACTCTGTTTCCCGTCTTCCCCCCCCCGCTCTCTCTACCAAGCCTGAGGGAGCTGCCACAGCCCCAACCCCCTCTTTTCCTGGCATGCACCCCTTCAGAAGGGGAGGCTTCCAAATTTGCTTGACTGATCAGGAGAAACCGGGTGGCAGGAGCAGATAGCAGCACCAGCGTGAGCGACTCTCCCAAGAGGCCGGGAGGGCTGGGAACGCTGCACTCTTTAGCACACTCCTTGCTCACTTGCCAGTCAGCGAGCAGCACTGAGGAAAGAGGCTGGGCTATTGGCCATGGTAGCAGTGGCAGGGTTGCCGGGTTATGCAGGTCAGTGAACCAGAGAAGGGTGGAGATGAAGCAGGAGCTCTGCTTAGGGCTTGTGGAACTTTCTCTTGGCACCTTTGCTGGACAGGGAATTCCTTTTCAGGGGCTGCCTTTGCTAAGCCATGAGCAGCTATCGCCACCAGCCGTAACAAGCACACAATTCTACACGCATTTTCTGCTCCCTGCCCCTTCCCTTCTTCAAAACTTCAAGCTTGCTTTTCTTCAGTTCACACCCCTCCTCCCCAGCACAAAGGCTCTCTTTAATGTGGGTAACAAGCAGAGTACTTCACCCATCCACACCCTTTCCCTCTTCAGTCAACCGTCATCGAAGCCTACTGGCTTATTTGTGCATGCCAGCAGAGCAGAGGAGCCTTTCATTTTCTCCAGCATCTGAGTCCACCAGCCATAACAAGCACACAATTCTACACGCATTTTCTGCTCCCTGCCCCTTCCCTTCTTCAAAACTTCAAGCTTGCTTTTCTTCAGTTCACACCCCTCCTCCCCAGCGCAAAGGCTCTCTTTAATGTGGGTAACAGGCAGAGTACTTCACCCATCCACACCCTTTCCCTCTTCAGTCAACCGTCATCGAAGCCTACTGGCTTATTTGTGCATGCCAGCAGAGCAGAGGAGCCTTTCATTTTCTCTAGCATCTGAGTGGAGAATAAATCATTTATTTCATCAGCTCAGTCCAGAGTACATAGGTGTCTCTAAAGTTTTCAGCAGGAGGCCCATTTGCTAAATTTTGCTTCTACTTGAGAACAGAAATCCAAGATAAGAACAGGAAAAAAAAACTTTACTGCTCTTTTTTTAACCTTAGATCATCTTAGGTTAAAAAAAATTCTCCCCCTAGTGGTAGAGTACGTATTAACCAGCTTTGCATTAGTTCCTATGGGAACTAATGCTTCAATGTACGAACACACCTCTACATAACAAAAAAACAGCCAGAACGGATTAATTGGTTTTCAGTCCATTCCTATGGGAAATTTTGCTTCAACTTAAGAACGTTTCAACTTAAGAACACCATTCCAAAATGGATTAAGTTCTTAAGTAGAGGTTTCACTGTAGTTTCTATGGACGGAAAAGAGCAGATACGGATTAAATGGTTTTCAATGCATTCCTATGGGAAATGCAGATTCAACATAAGAACTTTTCAACTTGAGAACCACCTTCCAATACGGATTAAGTTCTTAAGTAGAGACCCCACTGTAAATCGTTTATTTCATCAGCTCAGTCCAGAGTAGGTGTCTCTAAACTTTTCAGCAGGAGGGCCACAGACACACATGCACACTCCTGCCTGCATGCCCACACTTCTGCCCCCCCCATGCACCCACCTGCACGCCTGGTGGCTGGATAGAAAGGCAAGGCGGGCTGGATGTGGCCCGTGGGACGTAGTTTGGGGACCCCTGGTATATGCTGTCACAATCCACTATTTCTAAAGATAGGAAATAAGGTTGCTTCTTATGGAGAACCTCTAGTACTACGGTACCTACATACATTGTGTAGCTTGCTGGCTTTTCCTCCTTAGTGGATATTTTGTTATAAAGCAAGGGGAAAGGCAAAAAGGTTACATTTGGAAAATGTCATCTGGTCTCACTGTGAATGAGACTGAACAGTACTCCTTGCAGTACGAAAATTATCATCAGATCAATATTCTGGCACATTATTATATTGTAGAGCATTTAATCAATCTCCAATAGCACCAAATGTTTCAGCTCCTTACTTAGCATACTTTTGTTGACTTTAACAAGGTCTTCTTACTACTGCTTAGTAAAGTATAGTAGTTGTTCTGAAACTAAAATGTCTTTAAATGATCACAGAATGAAACTGTAAAATGTATATGGCAGTACAAGCAAGGAGTAGTGTGACAGTATCAACATCACTACTACTGGATCAACTTATAACTCAATCCTCGCACATTAACTCAACAAACACATCTGTGAGTTCATAGGAACTTGCTTTACATCATTAATCTTACTGTTCCTTATTCAATATAAAATTTCAGGGTAATTTGTTACCATCCTCTGAATATTGCCGAATTATTTATATTCATCCACTTTTCTCTCCATAGGTTTTGGCATTAATTTCCTTCATCTGCATAGAGACCATCATGGAATGTGCCCCTTGTGAAGGCCTTTCCTTCTTTGAATTTGTCAGTTGTAGCGCATCGGTAGTTACTGGCGTTCTGTTGCTTATGTTCAGTCTGAATCTCCATGGAAGAATACCACAGATCAACTGGAACATTACAGTAAGTTCTCATCCAAACCTTCACTTTATAAAAATAGCTGAATAAACATTTGAAGTTAGGGCTGTAAGCTCTGCCTGCCTTGTACAGAAACTTGAGACTCTTAGTTAATGCTCTTAGCACCATGTAGAGTACATGTGAACCCTACTGGTGTGCGGGGCATTATGAAATATTGAATGTTTAAGCATATAAAGGTAAAATTTTCTAAAAGCATTTTTTTCTCTGCACAAACCAGGGTTTCTTTCAATACATGTTTTTACTGTTCACTTGAAAAAACTGCAGTCTGCAACTTTTGAACTGTTTATTATCAATATGAGGTTTAAAAATTAAGCAGAAATAGAGTGAGCTGGCCCTGTAAATCAATAAACCTTATTTGGGGACTAATCTACTTTTCTGAGGCAAGAAGAAGTGTCTGACACATTTCTTTTCTGTTCCACATTTGGATACCACCTGTATTCCTAGACCTGCTCCTATATCTTTAAAAGTACATAACCTCACCACAGATATTTGACTAGGAATATTTAGGTCCAATATTCTCATTTGCTGATTAGAAGAAAGGAAGTTGGAAAGCTACATTTCTGCATGTCAGGCATAAGAACAGGTCTTGTTAAGAAAATGGCAGGCAGCCTCAGTCCACAGATCTCATTGTTTGATTTCATGCCAATTGCTCATAATTGTTGCATGAGGGCTAAGTTATCTCTCATGTAGAATTCATATGTCAAATTCAGTGTCGTCATACGTAAGACTTTCTACTAGCTCATGAAGTTTTTGTTGACTTTAGTAATTTTCCTGGTTTTTAGTTGAGTTCCTCCTGATTGTGTCTAATACAACAATAGGTCAGTTATTCTTTTATTTTACTTGTTTTCTTCCCGCATTTTAAGGGCATGAATGAGAGGCTAGCAGGTTGGAATACCGGTTCCTCAGTAGTTTAAAAACTGACAAACCAATGAGAGTGCACACCATCTTTTTAGAACAAATGAAATATTTAATTTTGTCTGTACTCATCTTTGATGGCCTGGCCTTCTTTCCATTTCCTGTATATGTCTTTTTTGGTTTTTAGGTCCTCTCTGAGCTTTTTGTGAAGCCACACTGGCCCTTTTTCCCACCTCCCACCTTTTTTCCTTGTTGGAATTGTTTGTATTTGTGCCCTTAGAATTTCTCTTTTTAGAAGTTCCCACCCTTCTTGGACTCCTTTTTTTAAAGATCTCCTGCTATGGGACCTTACTTATCCTTGTTTTGAGATTATTAGCAGATAGAAATATATTTGCAGATGTTGTTTATGTATGAAATATAAAGTTGAAACTGACTTGTAGTGACTATAAGTCAAGGCAAATGAAATTTTTAAGGTTTATGAGTGCCCACCCCTGCCCTCAGTTTCCATGGCTGTTGCTACTACCTGCTACCCAGGTCTCCTGAGTCCTAATCCATCACGCTGTCGATTACACCACAGTAATTAGACATCTTTGTCAGCCATTAATAGAATTGGGTTTTTTTTCCTTTTGCTGCTGTTGCTCTATTTAACTATTTCTTTGCTCTCATAACTGGTTTACAAATCCCTTTTTTGTATGAGGAAATGTAAAGGATAGTTCAAAACAGAAAGCATATGTTAATGCTCTTGTTATGCTCTGCCATTATATTCTGGCTTTGGCTAAATTTCTTTGGCTCTTGGCTTATGTCTAACATAAACACAAGACCCAAAATTGCCAACCACATAAGAAAATCAAGAGTGTCTATTCTGAATTTTTTAAATTATATTTTGCAAACTGCTAGATCAGCTTAGTACATCTCCATCCCATGCCAAAACCTTTTCCATCTTGTAATGGAAAGTTTTGACATTTGACCTTCAGGTTGTCTGAAACAGTTCTGTGAGCAGTCCTGTACTTTTTACAAGAAATCTTTTGAAATGTAACATATTACATAAATGTTCTAGTAGTAAACAATAAACTGATGTACAAGCTATTTTTTTTTGCTAATCAAAATACTTTCTTTTCCCATTGGTTTCTTTTCTTATTCTCATTCATTCTAAATGAGGAATTTTCTCTCATCACCATTTATTTGCACATTACTTGTTTGAATTGCTTATTGCATATTGCTTTTCTAGTCACTCAGGCTGTATGTAAGACCATAGATTAAAACAGCCTTAAAAATAATATTTTGGCATGTAATGTAAGTACATATAAAGAAGAGAGCCCTGTACTATCATCTGTTACAGCAGTGGCGAACCTATGGCACACATGTCACAGCTGGCATGCGGGGCCCTTTCTGCCGGCATGCAAGCCATAAGTCGCCAGATCGCTACCCCCCCCCACGTAGCCAAACCTGAGAAGGCAGCTGCAGCCGCGGTGCTGGCACTTCTGCATGCGAATCCGGAGCAGCTGGTGCTGACAGTGGGTCCGGAGTGGGGTTTCCGCTGCCATCATGGCACGCCACCCGCTGGTTGTTGGTTTTTTTTTTCCCCAGTTTGGGTACGCAAGCCCAAAAAGGTTCACCACCACTGCTTTATTACAGTAGCATCAAAAACCCAGAGCCTATTCCCTGGCCAGATTTAACATAATGCCTTCAGCAGTATTATCTGGCAGATTTCAAAGTATTTAATATTTCTTACAATGAGAGGAACTGCTCTTGTGAACTGGGAGGAATTGAGTTGCTGGTACACATGTGTTTATATTGCCCTCGCTATTCCGAACCCTGCGCTCAATATCTGGGCTCAGTATTGCTTAAGGTAAGAGGGTGGTCAGATATAGACAGAATGTGCTTTCTGTTAAATGACAGGGTGGAAGACAGGATGGAGAAAGCAGCATGCTTCTTAGCACACATAGTGAACATGCCAAAAATAGCACAGTTTGAACCAGCAGTCCCTCCTTGAGCCAGGTTTACGGATCTTCTGATGTAATCACTGGGCTAATTATGACAATATGTTGTTGTTGTTGTTGTTGTTGTTGTTGTTGTTGTTGTTGTTGTTGTTGTTGTTGTTGTTGTTGTTGTTGTTGTTGTTATAGTGGTGCCCTGACTGTAAATTTGCCTCTACCAAATAAAATTTGAGAAGAAAAAATGTCAATACACTGGAGTTTAACTTTACTACTTCTTCGTGGCCTCTGTGAATACACACATATGGGTTTAGTCTGCGCCTGCGCTGACATTCTCGGAGCATTCCAGAGCTAAAAGTAACAATTTTATGGTATGATCCCCCATGAGGCACAAGCTCCTCCCACCCAAGATTCCCCTCAGTTCCTTTTTTCCGCCGTGCAGTAAAGTTCTACAAAGCATAGAGCTATTTCCACAGGGGTTTTTCCCCTTATCTTATTGATCAATTCCCTCTAAATTGGATTCTTTCCCTTCTCAATTATCTAATCTATGATCCCCCATGAGTTGTTTTCTTTTTTGCTTGTCAGCTACTTGGCTTACCCCCCCCCTGCACACACACACATACTTCAACTGTTTGCTTCTTTCTCCTTTCCCGCCTTTTTCGGCCTACTCAT